AGGCAACACCCATTCAGTGATTAAGGCTAGTCCCATACTATGGAAAGGACAGAAGATCAGCTTTGTTCCCATTTTATCTCCTGTAATAAAACAACTATGGCTTTTCTTTGCTTGTGAAACTGCTGTGTGGCCTCCATTTCTGCTCCTATGAATTCTCCATTTTCTCTCTGACTGCTAAGATGGATTTAAAGTTGCCCTGGTGAGTGGGGCCCCACCAATTTTCCCTTTCATTCTACCCCTTTCCCTCCCTCTCTTTTTCCTTTCTAAATGTGTAATGACCTTTGGTCCCCACACTGTAATGAGCCCCATTGCCCCAGTGATTCCTCCTTTGTTTCCTGGTCCCATGAATCATAATTATCCAGTATGGGTGTGACCTAGGGTGATATAATTTAAAGGTGAAACAGTTTAGAGATCATCCTGTCCAGTTTTTTCATTTTACAGAGTGGGAGGCAAACTGAGGCCTAGAGAAGTAAAGTCAGTCAATACGTATTTATTAAATACCTACTACGTGCCAGGCACTGTAGTGTAAGGAACAAAAGGATTTGAATCCAAACTCCAAAGGTATGGGTAGGTGCTCAAGGAAGTCAAGTCATCAAAGAACTTGGAGCTCTTTGGGAAGTGTCTTCAGTTCAATTCAATTAATTTCATTTTATATCATTTCAACCAGCATCAGCTAAGCACCTACCGTATGCAAAGCACTGAGTTAGGCTGGAAGGAGACACAAAGTTTAGACAGACCCATCCTCACTTTATGTAGGAGCATTAGATACAAACACACATAATTATAATACATACTATTTCAGAAAAAAACATTAGAGAAGTACCTACAAAAGTGCCTTGTGAGTAGAATGGTCATTACCAAGATAGAAGTAAATTAGAGAAGGCCTAGAGGCAGCTGGTGGCTCCCTGGATCAAGTGCTGGACCTGTCATGAGGACTTGAGTTCAAATCCTGTCTCAGACATTTACTATGTGGCCCTGGCCAAATCGCTTAACCTCTGTCAGCCTCAGTTTCATCATCCATAAACTGAGGAGAATAGCACCTGTCTCCCAGGGTTGTTATGAGGATCAAGTGAGATAATAATTGTAAATCTTTGAACACATGCCTGGCACATAGTAGGTGTTTAAGAAATGCTTGTTTCTTTTCTTCCTGTGAAGGAAATGGCATTTGAGTTGGGTCTTAAAGGATGACAAGTAAAGAGAGGAGAGGGAAAACAGGTGCAGAGAATAGCTATGAGCAAAGGTATAGAGATGGGGGAAAAACCCAGGGATGTACAACGGTACATTTTAAATTTTAATCTGGTGTCCCAGTTCCATTTAACCACTAAAGCCACTGTTCTTCCTGTATACATTACAGGTGCTTCTTATCTGACTTTCTTTGTTTTTCCACCTCTCCCAAACAGCCATTCATGCATTGGCTGTATTTATCCCCTCTCTTTCCTCAGGAAACTGTTGGGAAGGCAAATGGAGCCGTACCTGTGAAATGCCTTGAGTGCCCTGAAGAGTGGCACTTCTCAACACTATATATTGGAGGTATTTGGTGTCTCCATCAGACTTTTGTCCTTCTCTACAACCTCCTTATGAATGTGGTTTGTTTTTTTTTTTTAAGTGAAAATGGATTTTCTTATGTGGAAGAATAATATTTGTTTCCCCAGAGTATATGCTAAGATGACATGAGTGTGTGTATTTTGCATGGGTCAATTCCATAAAACATTAAATGAGCCTTTCACCGGGCTATTTTAGTTTCTTGTCAAAACTGGAAATAAGAGTAGTCTGCCATGACTTGTTCTTAATGAAGCCATGCTGGCTCTTGGTGACTATGACTTTTTTAAAACATCCATCAACCATCTCTCTTTTTTCATCCATTCATTCTAGAATTTAGCCAGGAATCAAAGTCAAGCTTGTTGGCCTCGTTTGCAGATACTATTTTCTTCCCTTTTCAAAAAATCTGGACAACGCTTGGTCTTCTTCACTCCCGCAGTAACACTCTTATTTTCCATAATCTTTTAAATACCACTGACAGTGACTCTGCAATCACATCCACCAGTCCTTTCAGACCCTGTGGATAAATATAGTTCGTCTGAGCCAGGTGGCTTGAACTCATCAAAAGCATCTAATGGAGGTGCCCTCTTACCAGCTCCCCACTTATCTTGGGAATCAACTCCCTATTAGTCATCTCTGTTCTGTCCTTTCTAGTCCAAAGGTTATTTTCCTTGGCAGAAAACAGTAGCAAAATAACAATGGAACAGCTCAGCCCCCTCCTTTTGTCAGATCTCACTATCCTATCCACCCTGAGCAGTGGGCCTAACGCTTCTTTGATCCTCTTCTTTGCCCATTATAACTTAAAAAACATCCTTTTTCATTGTCCTTACCTTTCTTTGCCAGTCATTGGGTCACATTCCTGTATTCATCCTCAGTTCCCTGATCTTATTCCTTCCTTTGGTACATACATAAATAAGATATATTTATATTTTCCTTTTTAAATATATTTTATTGATATCTTTTGTTATTCTATCACCTAGATTTCCCATCATATTCCACCTGGCCTCTCCTTCCAGAGAGCCATTCCTTTAAATAAAATATGAAAAAAAGGAAAAGGAGAGAATCTCCACAAAACTAATCTTTAAGACATCCAAAAACTATGATGTCAGTACCCAACATTGTCAATTTCCTCCTTCTTTAAAGGTCCAAGGGAAGGTATCTTCTCATACATCTTCTTTAGGGCCAAGCTTAGTCATCATAATTTCAGGGCATCGAATGTCAATTGTTTGTTGTTCTTCTTTTCATTTACATTGTTGTAGTCATTCTGCATATTGTTTTCTTGGCTCTGCTTACTTCACTTTGAATCATTTCATATACATTTTTCCATGTTCCTTGCTATTCCTTATGTTCATGGCTCTTTATAGCACATTAATATTCCATTAAATTAACGTGCTGCCGTTTGTTGAGCCTGTTCCCCATTCTGGGGGCATCTACTCTGTTTCCAGTTCTTCACCACTACCAAAAGTTGCTACTAGAAATATTTTGCTGTATTGGGAGCCTTTTTTGTTGTCATTGACCTCCTTAGTGTGTATGTCCAGCGTGCACTCTCTGTGTGGATCAACGGGAATGACCACTTTTCTTACATAATTCCAGATTGCTTTCCAGAATGGTTTATACATATATATGTTTAAATTATTGATATCTTTTGTTTTCACATAACCTTAATTTCTATATAGATTTCCCCTCTCTTCCCCCTTTCTCTCTCTCTATACATATATATGTATACATACACACATATATACATGTACACGTCCTCCTCTCCCCAGAAAATCATTCTTCTTAAATAATAAAATAAATAAAAAATATAATAATAAAAAGAAAGAACAAGAAATAATCAGTTCAGTAAACCCTAATACACCATTCCCATCTAACAGAAATCCAACATTTCAATTGTTGCTCTCATCCTAGGGGAGTTCAGCATACATATTGATGATCTCTCAAATACTCTGACTCCCTAGGTTCTCATTCTACTCATTTCCCATTGCTACACACAAAAATAGATCATCAGAACCTTGATCTTGCCATCACCCACAAGTGTTCCATGTTCATGAACTCAGAAAATTATTTTGTCCATTCATATTTATCATCCATCTTTTTCTATGCCTTACAAACTCAATCCCATTTTTTGTTCTCACCCTGACTGCCATTCCCTTCATCCCTCATCTCTTTCCCAGGTCATCACCCAACACTGGCTACACTCTTCCTCCTTCCTTTTCTTAACTCCTGTTCAACTCCACTCCATCCTCTGATCTCAAATCTCTTGCCTTTTTGTGCTGCAGCCAATTACATTTTGCTTACTTTGACAAACCCCAAATCTACATTACTCCCACCACCTACCTCCTTTATTACTAATCCATGTGCCGTTGAATGGAGCTTGAGAATGTCATGAAACCATGTCAATTGGGTCCATACTATTGCACTTGTTTTCCCCATGCTTGGAATGCGCTCTGCCTCATCTTCATCTCTCCCTTCCAGATTCACCTCACATTTCACCTTCTACCAGATGCCTTTCTTGGTTTTCTCAGCTGCTACTATTTTCTGTTCTGAAATGACCTTCAATCAACTGCATTATTTACATTTTTCTCCCCCTTTAGAAGGCAAGTTCCTTATAGTCAAGGGCTGTTTTTGCCTTTCATTGTATCTCCCTTGCTTAGCACAATGCCTGACTAATAATAACTGTTTAATAAATGCTTGCTTGATTGCTTGGTCCACACCCATATTCTTCCAACTCTGCACAAGGGGAAGGAATTGCAAAGTCTCCTCTCTTTTTTGGGGTCAAGCTTGGTTTCTTGGCTCTGCTTACTTCACTTTGAATCATTTCATATCCATTTTTCCATGTTACTTGCTATTCCTTATGTTCATGGCTCTTTTATATATCTTTTAAAAATCTTAACGTGTAGGTGAGTTCCCTAGACACCCACACCTATGTCTTTCAGACAATTATTTTTTTTCCCAGTTTGTCAGAATTATTTCCTTTTGTGTCTTCAGAATTTCATTCTTCAGGGCTTCCCATCCCTCTTGCATTGATTTCCCCTGTAGAATTTTAGCCAATAGTATAACACCTATATTCCCTTTGAACCCTTTGAAATCTGCCCTCCCCAAACTTAAGGACCATGTCAGACTATTCCTGGCTTTCCTCTCCTCTATTACAACCAAGGAGGAAGCCGTCATTTCTCCCCAAAGTTCCAAGGAAGCACTCCATCCTCCCTCCCCCATTTTTGGCATCCTAGGACAATACCTTATTTTTCCCATGTTGGATTTAGCTCTGACCATCTACTTTGCTCTTTATCTTTTCTGGCTATTGTGTGGTGATTCTGTTGGGGCTACTGGCCTAGAGTAGCTCAAGGCGATTGACCCCACTCTCACAGAAACATGGAACTCCTTTGAAAGTGTTTTGGAGAGGAAGGGGCATGTATCAGTTATGCGTATTTGTCTCACCTCACTTTCTCCCTCCATTTCAGTCTGGGGAACAGCTTATACCATCTCTGTGCAAACACCTACGAAGGTCCTACGAGTTGCCCAAGGAAAGGGTGCCACACTCCCATGCTTGTATGACACCACAGTTGCGGGAAGGAGTGGATTCATCCAATGGGACAAGCCTCTAACGGACCCTCCAGTAAGAAGCCATACATACTCTTAGTAGTGGGAGAAGAGAAGAGCTTGAGAGAAGTAGAAGGTTTGGGCAAGTTGACCTAATTCTACTGAGGTCACCTTGGATACCTTGGTGAGGCAGCTCCACCTGCAGATGTGGCTGCCAAAGACTATAAGCTAGGTCCTGAGAAGATTATACATAGGCAGAACATCTTGTTACCTGCATGCTGATTTTAGCACTAATAAGGAGGCCAATACTCCGCCTTCTTTCCTGACAGGGATGGTATCTTGGGGAGGGAAGTCTAGGGAAGGGCAAAGCTGGGAAGTATGGTGAGAAAGGCGAATGACGAGGAGAGCCTGCTTTACAGTTTTGCCTTAGGTAGTCCTGGCTGGGGACCTGGAGTGTGTATTCTCTCTTCCTCCTTCCCTCCCTCCTTCTCCCTTTCTCTCTCTGTCTCTGTGTCTCTCTCTCAGTCTGTCTGTCTCTCTCTCTTCCTCCCTCCTTCCCTCTGTTTCTGTCTGTCTCTGTCTCTTTGTCTGTCTCTGTCTGTCTCTCTTCCTCTCTCCCTCCCTCTGTCTCTCTCTGTCTCTGTGACTTTGTGTGTGTGTCTCTGTCTCTCTCTCTTCCTCTACCTTCTTCCCTCTCTGTGTCTCTGTCGGTCTATTTGTCTGTCTCTGTCTCTTTATCTGTCTATCTCTTTCTCTTTCTCTCTTGCCCGTTGAAGGTCTTCAATTAAAATGAGAATCCACCTTTGGTAGAGAAAGTGTAAAGTGGTGGCCTATACAGCAGAGTAAAACCTTCAGAGAGTGTTCTCTTTTGGTTTTGTTGGCACTTGAGGTTGATTGATTCAACAACAGACTCATTCAACGAACACTTATTAAGCACTTTTATTCATTCCTCCGCTCATTCATTCGTTCATTCATTCTGGCTACTTCCACGCACCTGAATACCATGCCATCTGTACTTGGACTCCTAACAATTATCATCATCATCATCATCATTATTATTATCATCATCATCATCATATACAATTATTATATAAATATAATAATTATTGCACACTTTGAAAACTTTAAAGCCATATAAATGTTAACTATCATTATTATCATCATCATTGTGATTATGCAAGGCACTATGCTGTGTGTTATGGGGATGGAAAGAAGAATATGACAGTTTGGGTCCTGTCCCTGACCTGTTCAATTCTTCTTTCTCCTTAAATGCCCAACTCAAATGCCAGTTTCTTCAGGAAGCCTTCCCAGATTCTCCCTAAAAAATGACCTTTTTCTTCAGACCTCAGATAGAATTTTTTTTTCAATTCTCTAAAAAACTTATATAATATTGATAAATAGCTATCAGCGTTTGTCTCTTAACACTCTGCTGGTTTGCAGGCTCTATGAGGGATGGGACTGTGCTTTATCTAAACTTTATATTTCCCCAGCATCTGGGAAATAGAAGTTTTTGGTAAATGTTTATTGAATGACTAACTGCCTAATTAAGAAAAAAAAGACTGGATAAATCACTTTAATTCAAGACTTATTGTGACTAGTGGACAAGGTGCTAACCAAGCGCCCTAAGATAATGCCTTTTTATTACTGTAGTTCAGTGAAGTAGAGAAAAAAAATTTTTTTTGAGAGGATTGGGCCTTACAGTTCCAGCCTGCTATTTACTAGCTGTGACTTTTGACAAATTACTTTCCCTTTCTGGAATTCAGTTTCCTTATCTAAAAGGAGGGACTTGAAATCACTGATGCCTAAGGTCTCCTCCAGTTTCACATCTTCTGGACCTTCACCTGATTCCAAGCTTCAAGGTTCTAGGACCTAGAAGGGCTAAGAATCAAGGCTGGCAACTGGGAGGAGGGGAGCTGCCTATCCTAGCTTAGCACTGGGGCATTCCTGGTGGGGCAGGAGGTTGATGACATTCCTTGTTCCTTACAGAGTCAGGTACTGGTATGGTCCTTCTCCTCACAACAGTACAACTTTGGGAATCAGTACACAAATCGAGTCAACCTGTCCGGCAACTATCAGACCAACGATGCCTCCATCACCATCAGTCAGCTGACCATGGATGACAATGGGACCTATGAATGCTTACTGATGCTTGATGGAGATTTAACTGGAAACAGACAAGCAAGGATGGATCTCATTGTTCTGGGTGAGAGGCAGTGACTACTCCCATCATCCTCTTGTTCCCTTTCACAGGTTTGGGGGAAGTAGTCCTCGAAGAAGAGGGATTTGATTTTAAATAAAATCACACATTAATGAAACATCTGCTATATGTTTGGCACTGTGCTGATATAAAACCATGCTCTAGGAAACTGGTGGGGAGCTGCTTCTGATCCTTATCAGCACAGGATAGTGGAAAGAGTGTTGGGTTTGGATTAGGCAGATCTGAGTTCGAATCTCAGTTCTGCCACTTAATACCTGTTTGACCTTGGGTTACCTGAGGCACCTATATGGCACAGTTGAGGCTGCTGGGCCTGGAGTCAGGAAGACTTGAGTTCAAACCTAACTTCAGACACTTACTAGCTATGTTTAAGTCACTTAACCTGTTTATCTTAGTTTTTTCAGCTGTAAAAATGAGGATAATAATTGCATCTGCCTCTCAGAGTTGTGAGGATTAAATGAGATGACATTTGTAAAATTCTTAACACAGTGCCTGACATAATAGGCTCTTAAAAAATGCTTATTTCTTGCCTTCTCTCTTTCCCTTTCCTTCCTTCCTTCCTCCCTCCTTGCCTTCCTTCTTTCTTCTCTCCTCTCTCCCCTCCCTCCCTTCCTGCCTGCCTTCCTTTTTTCTTTCCTCTTTTCTTCTCTCCTTCCTTTCCTTCCCTCCTTCCCTCCCTCCCTTCCTTCCTTCTTTCCTTCCTTCCTTCTTCCCTTCCTTCCCCCCTCCTTTCCTTCCTTCCCTCCTTACCTCCCTTCCTTCCTTCCTTTCCTTCCCTCCTTCCCTCCCTCCTTCCCTCCCTCCCTTCCTTCCTTTCCTTCCTTCCTTCCTTCCTTATTCCTTCCTTCCTTCCTTCCTTCCTTCATCTCTTAACCTCTCTAGGCCTATATTCATCTAGAAAATGAGAGGGCTAGACTAGATGATTTCTGATTTCTGAGATCTCTTCCAGCTCCAGACCTAAAATCTTAGCTGATTCCGTGACACTTTGCCCATCCAAGGAAGCATGGGCATTACTGGGGACTTCCTGCAAGGCAGCAGGAAGTAAGGGAGGTGAATTGTTTAGGCAGGAGCATGCTGAAACCAGTGCTTCTAGAACAATGCTTAATGACAGACATACATTTGACACTAGGTGTAGGGTCAAGGAGGCAGAGAGGCATGTGATTGGCCCAATCTACTGGTGTTCTCCAAATCTTATCAATCACACTATCACCAAATCATAGATTTTGAGCTGGAAAGAACTAAAGAGGTTATCTTGTCAAACTGAAACCAATACAGGTCAAGTGGCATTCCCAGGGTCACAGAGGGCAGAACTGAATCTGAGCACTGCTGCTCTTTCTTTTTTTAAAATTTAATTTGACTTATTTTTGTTACGTTTTAAGTTCTGAACTGTCTCCCTCCCTCCTTCTCCACCCTGCATGAGAAAGGCCACCATTTGATGCAGATGATATAAACTATGAATGTTATTTTCTCCTTCTACTGATCCTCTCAGTCATTCAGGTTCAAAACTCTAGTCTTTCATCAGTATCTTATCTCATTGTTATTAATCTAATTCATGCCCTAGTTGCCTCATATTCAAACTATTAATGTTAACCACATAACTGGCAGCCCTAACTCAAATCTCTTAAGCTGGTCATCTTGTCATTTCTTCTCCAGTGTATCCTCTCCTATCCACTCACACAGCTGCCACCCCAGCTCAGGCCGTCATTGTCTCTTGACTGGATCATTACAGTAACACCCTACTTGATTTCCCCACTCAAATCCATTCTCCACTTAGTCACCATGGTTATTTTCCTAAAGCACAGAGCTGACCATGTTACTCCCTTTCCTAATAAACTCCCATGGCTCCCTATTGCCACTAAGAACAAATATAAACTCTTGTGTTAATTCTTTTTTAAAAATTTATTTATTTTATTCTGAACTTATGAAATAAAACCAGCATTTCCATAACAAGGTGGAATAGAAAAACAGAGGATTGTGCCTGAGATTGCAGATCTATTATGTACAACTTGCTATTCGTTTCAAATGTACAACAAAGTTCTCACATAACTTTCTTTTTTTTTCCCTCTCCCACCCAAAACTTTGAGATGGCTACCATTAGACACAAACCTGTATATATACGTACATATATACATATACATATTTATGTATATATACACACAAATATAGCTATGTCTATATCTATGTATACATATATGTGCATGTATGTATATGTGTGTATGTGTATGGGTATATATGTGTGTGTTGGTTCTTTTTCTGGATTCAAATAGCATCTCTCTTCATAGACTCTTTGAGGTTAATTTGGGTATTTATAATAGAATGACTTGGTTGCTGAGAATTGTTCTTAAAACAATACTGCTGTTACTGTATACAATGTTCTTTTGGTTCTGCTCATTTCTATCTTCATTATTTCATGGAAGTCCCTCCATGCTTTTCTAAATTCGTTGAGCTCATCATTTCTTAAAGCAGAGTAACATTCCATCATGAACATATACCACAATCTGTTAAGCCATTCCCCAATTGATGGGCATCTTTGCAATTTCCAGTTCTTTTTCACCACAAAGAGAGCTGCTAGAAATATATTAGAACGTGTAGGTTCTTTTCCATTTTCCCTAATCATCTTGGGAAACAGACCTAATAGTGGTATTGCTGGGTCAAAGGCTATAGGCAATTTAATAACTCTTTGGGCATAATTCCAAATCTTTCTTCAAAATGGTTGAATCAGCTCACAGATCTACCAGCAATGAATTAAGGTCGCAATTTTTCCACATCCCCCCCAATATTTGTCGCTTTCCCCTTCTATCATCTTAGCCAATCTGATAGGTGTGAGATAAGATCTCAAAATTGTTTTAATTTGTATTTCCCTAATCAATAATGATTTAAAGCATTTTTTATATGGCTAAGGCATAATGCATTCTACTCCAGCACTTCTTTTTAACCGTATGTATCTGTCATTTTAAAATGTGTTTCTTCTAAGCAGAATATTATTGGATTCTGATTTTTAATCCATTCCGCTATCTGTTTCAGTTTCATGGGTGAATTCATCCCATTCACATTTGAAATTATAATTACTATTTGTGTATTTCCCTCCATCCTATTTTTCCTCACTATTGTCCTTCTTAGCCTCTCTTTTTACCCCATCCCTCCTCTAGTTTACTTCTAACTACTACCTCTCTATTTCATACCCTTTAAAAGAATCTCTCTTATCCTCTCCCCTACCCCTCCTTTTTCTTGTTCTGCCCACTGCTGTAAGCGTCCTTCCCTTTTCTTCTCTCCCCACCCCCCTAAATCTTAATCCATACATCCTTTTAAACCCCTTCCCCCTTATCCTGTTCCCTCACCTTATTTCTTTATAAATTTAGAAGACTTTTATACCCTTTTAGATGTATGTGTTGTTCCCAGATCTGATGAGAGTAGGATTCCAGCACTACCAGCCTCCCACCCCCACCTAATTCTTCTGTATCAATTCTTCCTCTCACACTTCATTTGTATGAGATAATTGCTCTTTTTACCTTTTCCTACACAATTTTGCTTTTTAGAATCACCACATTATACTCAGCTCATCCCCAGTCTTTCTTTCAAATTACCCAATTACTCATGACAGTCTTAAGAATATAGTTTACATTTCCACGTATAAAAAGTAAACAGTTTGACCTTATTGAATGCCTTGTGATTGGTCTTTGATGTTTACCTTATATTTCTCCTGGATCTTATATGTCAAATTTTCCATTAAGTTCTGGTCTTTTTGTGACAAAAACCTGAAAGTCTGTCAATTTGTTGAATGTGTTTTTTTTTTTTCATTCAGGATTATACTTAACTTTGCTGAGTGAGTTATTTTTGGCCACAACCCCAGTTCTTTTGCTCATCAATATATAGTATTCCAAGACCTGTGGTCTTTTAGTGTAGTATATGCTAGGTCTCGTGTAATTCTAATTGTGGCGCCACAGTATTTGATTTTTTTTTCTTGTTGCTCATAATATTTTCTCCTTAACCTCGGGGTTTTGAAATTTGGCTACGATATTTCTATGGGTTTTCATCCTGTGATCTCTTTCAGGTGGTGATTGGTGGATTTTTAAAAATTCTGCTTTCTCCTCTTGTTCTAAAATTTGAGCGCAATTTTCTTTATTTCTTGTAATATTGTATCAATATTCTTTTTTTTTTAAATCATAGTTTTCAGGCAGTCTGATAATTCTTATGTTTTCTCTTTTTGATCTGTTCTCCAAATCAATTGCTTTTTCTTATGAGATGTTTCACATTCTCTTCTATTTTTTCATTCTTTTTATTTTGTCTTATTGTTTCTTGGCATCTTATAATGTCATTTGCTTCCCCTTGCCCAATTCTAGTTTCCAAGGAGTTGTTTTCTTCCTTAAGATTCTGGATCTCTTTTTCTAGTTCACTGACTTTCTTTTCATAATTTTCTTGACTTTCTTGGATTGTTTTTATTTTTTTTTTCTATTTTTTCCATCAATAGCTCTCATTTGATTTTTAGAGTCTTTTTTAAGTTCTTCCAAGAACTCTTTTTGGGCACATGAACATTTGACCTTACTCCTTGGAGTAGGAGAGACTTTTTTTACTTTACTGTCCTACTCTGAAAATGAGCCCAGGTCTTCTCTATCCCCATAATAGCTGTCTATGGTTGGGTTCTTTCTCCTTTGCTTACTCATTTTTTTTCTTTTCTTTTTAGTGGCTTGTTATTATAATCGCCTCTGGTCTTGGGGTGTGGGGGATGGTGTCTCTGGCCTCAGGTCCTTCTTTCTGTTATTTTCTGAGCTTTGTCCAGGGCCCAACCTCAGCCCTCCTTTCCCCCTCCCAGCCACAGCTCGGGCCCCCAGCCATACTATGCTGGAAATGCTTTTGCTCCCTGAGGACCCTCCAGTGGCTGTAACCTTTAGTTCTCCCTTCTGGCCTGGAATCCAAACCAGGAACTCGGCTCTCCTGTAAGTGCCCACAGCCAGCAGTGTCTCTGCTCCACTGCTTATGCACTCACCTGGCATGTACCGGTTCCTTCTCACCTTCAGGACATCCAAGCAGCACAGCTGGGTCTGGTGCCCCTCAACAGCAGAGGGTGTTTCAGTCTTCCCCTGCTCAGATGTTTGACTGCCCGCAGTATCTGTAAGGTGAGGATTCCTGTGGCTGAGGCTGAGGCCGAGGCTACCTCCCAACCCAGCTGCCCCCAGAGCTTGTTTGTTGTTTCAGCAGGGATAGCCTGGAGGTGTTTGCACTTGACTGAGGCCAAATCTGCTTCCCTGAGGTCTTTCCTCAGGTCTTCTCCAGTTGTCCCAGGAAGATCCCTGCTCTGCCCCAACTCTAGTTTATTTTTGTTGCTCTACATTCACCCTGGGGCACTGTTTTGTCTTGTTTGTGGAGGAAATCTGGAGAGCTTGGAATTTTCTGACCTATTCCTCCATCTTCCCAGAATTCCCCCTACCCTACCATGTTTAGCCCCAACCTATCTTTTCAGCCTCATTACATTTTTCTCTCTTTCTCCTATTCTTTAATCCAGGCAAACTAATCTCTCTGTTCCTCACACAAGGAACACCATCTCCCTTTGTGCTGACCATCCATCACTCCTCCCCACCTTCCCCTCACAGATTCTCTCCTGTCAAGATGTCGTTCAATCATGGAGCCTTTCCTGTCACCCTCCCCCCGCTCCCCAATCAGCTAGTGCCCTCCTAACTACTTTATAATGATGTATTTATTTGCACGTCTTCTCTATATACTTATATATGTATTTGCTACCTCTCCGGTTAGAATGAGAGCCCCTTCAGAGCAGTGATGGTTTTATTCATCCCCCAGAGCCTAGTATAGGGCTTGGTACATTGTAAGCACTTTATAAATACTTGTTAGTTGATTAATATGGATTCCCCAGGCCACTAAGAACACTTAAGATGAAACAATTTTATCTGAGGTTTCTGAGCTCTCCAGAAAACAGATGTGAGTAACCGAGCGAACATTACTGAGTGAACAGTGTCCCCTGGAAGCCAAAGTAGACCCAAAGAACAAACTTGATGCTGAGAGAATTTGAAACTGTGCTATACAAGAATTGGGTGAAGAATCTGGGGATGTTTAGCCTGGAGGAAAGACTTAAGAGAAATATTGTCTGTGAATTCAAGCGGTTGAGAGGCACTAGCCTTTTGTTCTGCTTGGCCTCAGAGAACGGAATTAGGAGCAATGGGTGGAAGTCACAGAGATAAAGATTTAGGCTTGAGGAAAGTAAGTAAATACATCCTTACAACAAGAACCAGAGCTATAACTAGCTGTTCTAGCTCTCAGGGCAAGTACCAAAAGTGCAGGCAAAGTGGAGGGGGTGGGGGACAGAAATCAGGATAGCTGCTGGGCTGGGAGCAGGGTGGCATAGACTGGGAATGAGCTGACTCAAAGTGTGGCTAGGCCTTAGGATTCTCATTCACTATTCACAGACCTGTGTCTTCGTTGTGCCAAAGGGTGGTTTTTAAATGCCTGGTTTACACGGGATAGTTGACAGTCCTTCCTAGTTGAGTTTAGAGTTTTGACTACGTCCCTTTGGTGCAATAGACAGCCCCAGACTAAGTCCCACCCAAAGCCTCAGGCAGAAATGGAGGAGTTGGAGGGAGCGGGCAGGGGGACACAATGGGTGAGAGATGCAGCATTGGGTACAAATGTGACAGCGGCCATCATCTTCAAACCTGAAAGTGGTAGGCTTGGGGAGGTAGCAGAGGCAGTCATGCCTCTGAGGGCTTTGGGATAAAACTGGTAAAGATCGAGAATGAGAAGGAATGGTAGGCAAGAGGACTATAGGAGGAAGAAGCTGGGAATTTATTCTATGGCTTTTATGGCCCATTTATGGGGGGTTATCCAGTTTTATAGCCTCCCCTCAATTAAAGGAGGAAATGAGATATAGTAAAAAGTATACTGGTTCCAGGTTCAAATCCTCCTTCTGACACTACTTTCATGGTCTCAAGCAAGTCACTTAACCTCCCTGGGCCTAGTTTCCTCATCTGTAAAACGATACTAGATGGTCTTTAAGATTCCTTCAGCTTTGTATCCATTATCCAACAGTTGCACTTAGACAGTCCCCGTTTTCTTTGGCATCATTACTCTCTAAGGAAACACCAGTCTCTCAGTGGATAAATATGGTAGTTATTGTTATCTTTTATGGATTAAGAAACGAAGTCTCGGAGAAGTTAAGTGAGTTTCTTAAGGGGGCTCTGTTGGAACTCAAACCACTGGACTTAGAATCATCATAGACCTAGATCTGGAAGAGGCTTAATTGTCCCCATTTTACACATGAAGAAACTGAGGCTCAGGGAGGTTCAGTGAGTTGCCTGAGGTCATACAGATAACACTAGAAGTGTGATTTGAACCGAGGTCCTTTGATAACAGAGCTAACGCTCTTTTCACTACACAAACCTGGGTTTGAATTCTGGCTGCCATTTCCTAGCAGTGTGACATCAATCAAGACCTTGAGCCTCAGTTTCCTCATCTGTAAAATGAAGGGTTTGGACTGGATCATTGCCAAAGTCATTTTCAGCCCTAAATCCCATGATTAGGGATAGTTACCAGCTGAGTTTGCCATTTTTATTTCAACTTTTTACTAATGCACTTTTTTTTAAATTTTAGAAGATTTTCCTCCCAGTGGCATTTTGTAATAAATGAGGTTTGTGAGATCATAAGTTTAGAGCTGGAAGGAATCTTAAAGGTCATTTAGCTCAATGCCCTTATTTTTGCAGTTAGAAAAACTGAGGCCCAGAGAAGTGGTGACTTGTCCAGAGTCACATCGATGATCAGTGGCAGGGGTAGATCCTCTGACTCCCGATTCAATGCTCTTTCCACCAATATCACACCCTCCCATTCCAGAATTATGGTAAAGGCTCAAACCCTCCATTCAAGAATAACCCACAGAAGATACAATCTTCAAAATCTGCATTGGGTACACCAATGACTTATCCAGGCTCTGGTCATGTATCTCTTACTGCACTTTCATGTTCTGACTGGAATAATAGCTATCTGCGTCATATCTCAGCTGTTAATGCTCTCCTCTCAGATTCCCTTCCACCTACTCTGTAGATAGCTTATCTATACCTAGTGGTTTGTATGTTGTCTCACCCATTAGACTGTGAGCTCCTCGAGGGCAGGGACTGTCTTTTACCTTTCTTTGTAGCTCTTAGCACAGTGCCTGGTACATAGTAGGCTCCTAATATATGTTTATTGATTGAATGAGTATGCTTAGTGGCAGTGATCATATGCTGGGTAGAGGTCGAGGTAGGAAGGCATATTATACATAATGGTCTGCCTGGTCCTTTTACAGACTCACAGAATATGACCTTCTCTGTCTTTTCCTTCTTTGCAGTGCCCCCCTCCGTACCAGAGTGCAGCATTGAGGGGGAAACTATATATGGGAACAACATCCAGCTAAAATGTCACTCCAAAAACGGATCTCCAACTCCCCAGTACAGCTGGAAGAGCTTTGACATCGAGTACAAGGAACGGCCACTCTCACCACCAGGTATCTATAAGTTATCGTGTCAAGAAGAGCCATCTACAGTCAGACACTGGAGTGCTCACTCTCTTGGTTCCCAAGCTGTATGTTGTCTCTCCCTTAGATCGTGAGTTTTCAAGATCCAGAATCATTTTTGCTTTCTTTGTAATCCCGGCATTTGGCACATTGACTGGTGCCTAGTGAACCTTTAATAAATGCTTGTGAACTTGACTGGAAATCAAGAAATTATTAGACTAGATCAGAGGAATGTCTTAGATGTGGCATTTAAAGTTTTCAGCAAGATATTTGACAAAAATCACAAGAAGGAGAGATGCAAAGTCATTGAGAATAGGTATTATTTGATTTTTTTTGTCTTGTCTCTTTAGCGTTTATTATAGTACCTGGCATATAGTAATGTTTGTTGATTGATCAAGAGATGTTGGCTGGATCCAGTTAGTGGATTTAGAACCAAATTGAACGGGCAGAGAACATGAAGCTACTGAGTGATGGAAGAAAAGGAGAGGAAGGGGATACAAGAATAAACTTAGTGCATTTGACAGTTACGCCTAGAACAGGTAGATGGATTCTTAAGAGACATTCACATAGGAAAAGGGTGGCTCGGCACAAGTGTCATTTGCTTGTTGTCCACAAGGTGGCTACACTGCAGCAGCAATGGCTTGTTTGCAGCTCTTCATAGAACCAGACTAACGCTGGAGGAAACCTCAGAGCCCATTGAGTTTGATCCCTTCATTTTACAGATGAGCTGCTGAGGCCCAGGGAGCCTCAGTGATTTGTCCCAGGTCACACAGGTAGAAAGTGTCAGAGGTAGGATTCGAACCCAAATCTAATTATTCCAGAGCCAGCTCCTGGTCCACTGTTTCATAACATTATAGGCTCTCAGAGATGGAAGCAATCTCAGGGATCATCTAGTCCAATTGCCCCTTCCTTTCACAGAAGAGAAAACTGATCTGTGGTTGGGTCACACATTGGAACCCAGATATCTTGATTCTCAGCCTAGTATTTTTCCTGTTATATACCATCCTGTCTCCTCTGTGCTTTTGGAAATTCTTCCATGGGAATGGTGTGAATTTGTCAAGATTCCTCCTCCTTGGGGCAGCTAGGGGGTGCAGTGGATAGAGCATTGGCCCTGAAGTCAGGAGGACCTGAGTTCAAATCTGGCCTTATACCAAAAACTTGACACTTACTAGCTGTGTGACCCTGGGCAAGTCATTTAACCCCAATTGCCTAAAAAAAAAAAGATTCCTCCTTCTTCCCCTCCTTTTTTAAAGTCTGGTCTTGTAATTTCCATTGTTTAGGGAGCTCCCTGGATCTATGGCTATGCCCAAGCGTTCTGCCACTTTTAGTTACCCAAGACACAGAGATTAAGTGACTTAGGGTCACGCAGCCTGTTTAAACCAGAAGTAAAACTTTAACTCAAATCATCTTGATTCCAAAGTTGGCTCTCTATCCAGCAGACCACAAAGCCTCTCAATAAGTGTCTCTTTTCCATAGAATCACTACCATTCTGTCCCTGAGCCCCTCCTTCATGGGTTGTGCCCATGGTGGCTAAATTTCACGTCTTCATTCTTTAGGCTAGTGGTGGCTACATTCCACTCCTTCATTCCTTAGGCAGCTGGCAATAGTAATATCCAACACTTTTTAAATTAAATTTTATGTTTTTAGTTAATAAACATTTATTTTCTCTCCTGCCCACTCCATGCCCCAGAAAAAGGAAAAAGAAAACCCTTGAACCAAATATGCATAAAGCAAAAAAATTCCTAAATTGACTAAAACAACATGTACCTCATTTTACATATTTAGTCAACCATCTCTCTGTCAGGAAGCAGACAGCATCAGTCTTCTGGAATCATGGTTGGTCATGGGATCAGAGTTCCCAACTCTTTCAAAGTTGTGTACATCTTTACAATACTGTTGTTGTATAAATTGTTCTGGTTCTGCTCATATCACTCCACATCTATTCATAAAAGTCTTTCCAGGTTTCTCTGAAACCAACCTTTTCATTGTTTCTTATAGTATAATACTATTCCATTATATTCATAGACCATCATTTGTGCAGCCATTCCCTAATCTCAATCTAATTCCATCTTTTTGGGAGCTATCACACACCCCTCTCTAGACTGGGGTACCACATGAAGATATTTCTATCTTGGTGGAGTTGGACTATGATACCCATAATACCCAATGGTGCTTAAAGAAATTGGGTTAAATTATCAACAAAGCCCAACAGCAAGAGATAGAAAGAGAAATTCCATTTAAACTTACTGTAGATATTATAAAATATTTAGGAGTCTACTTCCTGAAACAAACCCAGGAACTATATGAACACAATTACAAAACATTTTTCACATAAATAAAGTCAGATCTAAATAACTGGAAAAAACATCAGTTGCTCATAGGTTGGCCGAGCTAATATAATAAAAGTGACGATTCTACCTAAGCTAATTTACTTATTCAGTGCCATACCAATCAAACTACCAAAAAGTTATTTTATAGAGTTAGAAAAAATAATAACAAGATTCATTTGGAAGAACAAAAGGTCCAGAATATCAAGGCAACTAATGAAAAGAAATGCAGGGGAAGGTAGCCAAGCCATTCCAGATCTTAAATTGCATTTTAAAGCAGCAATCATCAAAACTGCTTGGTACTGGCTGAGAAATAGAGTGGTGGATCAGTGGAATAGGTTAGGTATGCAAGACAGTAGTCAATAACTATAGTAATCTATTATTTGGTAAACCCAAAGATCCCAGCTTCTGGGATAAGAACCCACTCTTTGAAAAAAAAACTTTTGGGAAAACTAGAAAAGAGTATAGCAGAAACTCGGCAGTGATCAAAATCTCACACCATATACCAAAGTAAAGTCAAAATGGGATCATAATTTAGATATAAAAGCTGATCCTGTAAGCAAACTGGGAGAGCAAGGAATAGTTTACCTATCAGATTTATGGAAAACAGAAGAATTCATGACCAACAGGAGATAGAGAACATTATGAAAAGCAAAATGGATAAATTTGATTACATTAAATTGAAAAGTTTTTGCACAAACTAAGCCAATGCAACTAAGATTAGAAGAAAGGTAGAAAATTGGGAAAGAATTTTTACAATCAGTCTCTCTGATAAGGGCCTCATTTCTAAAATATATAGAGAATTAAGTCAAATTTATAAAAATACAAGTCATTCCTTAATTGATAAATGGCCAAAAGATATGAACAGGCAGTTCTCAGATGAAGAAATTAAAGCCATCTATAGTCATATGAAAAAATGCTCTAAATCACTATTGATTAGACAAATGCAAATCAAAACAACTCTGAGGTACCAAATCACACATATCAGATTGGCTAAGATGACAAAACAAGAAAAGTATAAATGTTGGAGAAGATGTGGGAAAATTGGAACACTAATGCATTGTTGGTGGAGTTGTGAAATGATCCAACCATTTTGGAGAGCAATTTGGAACTATGTCCAAATGGCTATAAAAATGTGCATACCCTTTGACCCAGCAATAGCATTTCTAGGGCTATATCCCAAAGAGATCATACAAATGGGAAAAGGACCCACACGTACAAAAATACTTATAGCAGCTCTTTTTGTGGTGGCGAAGAATCAGAAATTGAGAGGATGCCCATCAATTGGGGAATAGCTGAGCAAGTTGTAGTATATGAATGTAATGGAATACTATTGTGCTATAAGAATTGATGAACAGGCTGACTTCAGAAAAAACTGGAAAGACTTGTATGGTCTGATGCTGAGTGAAGTGAGCAGAACTAAGAGAACATTGTACACAATAACAGTCACATTGTATGATGACTAATATTGATAAACTTAACCCTTCCCAGCAATACATCTCCAAAGGCCTTGTGATGGAAAATTCTATCCACATCCAAAGAAAGAACTATGGAGTTTGAATGCAGATCAAAGCATACTATTTGCTATTTTTTTCTTCTGTTGAGCTTTGTTTCCTCTTTCTGGTGATTCTTCCTATTGGTTCTAATTCTTACTTCCAACATCACTAATGTGAAAATATGTTTAATAGGAATGTATATGTATAGCCTATAGGGGGTGGGGAGGAAGGGGGAGAAAAATTTTAAACTCAAAAGCATGTGGAAGTGTTTGTTGATAAATCAAAATAAATTAAAAAATGAAAAAAAAAAGAAATTGGGTTAAGCAGAGGCAGACTAACTCACAAGATACTCAGCTACATTCCCTGGTGCCTGAGCGGAGAGTATAGACAGGGTATGCTGGAGCTAGCTCTAACCCACTTGAGAGAACCTGTTGTTTAATTAATTATTATTATTTTTTTTTTTTTTGCTTTTTGGTGAGGCAATCAGGGTTAAATGACTTGCCCAGGATCACACAGCTAGTTAACGTCAAAGTGTCTGAGGGCAGATTTGAATTCATGTCCTCTTGACTCCAAGACCAGAGCTCTATCCACTGAGCCATCTAGTTCTCCACCCCCCACATTGTTTAATTCTCAGTGTGAACATTTATACTTCAGAAATTGGTAATAAGCTACAGATCAGGACTTCATTTATTATTTTGCTGTGTAGACTTTTTTGCAGATTAAACCTAAAAGTGTGCACATTCATTTTTTTTTCAGTCTTATCGAACATTTACCAACACACCTGTATGTGCTGTTCTGTAAACATTGCTTGAGCTCAGCAGGGGTGCAATAAAAGACTTAGGAAATGAAGAGATCACCAGACTGGAGTCCTGCTGACTGAAGGCTAGCAATAATAATAATAATAATTTGCATTTATGTAGCAAATTTAAGATTTGCAAAGTGATTTACATTCATTCTCTTATTTGAATCTCATAACATCCTGAAGTACACAGTAGAGGAAACGGGAAGCTGGTCTCTGAGCTCCACCTTCAGGTGCATCTCAAACTCTCTCCTAAAGAATTGTCCCATAGAATACCTCTGGTTATGAATATTCTGTCTTGGAGTTCTGCCAAATCTTGGTACTAGAACACTGGCCCAACCCTGACCCTCTGCACTCTCAGCTCATTTCAGGTTCATTGAGTTGGGCAAAGAAGCTCTTGTTTAGATTGTAGCCACTAGATGGCAGCAGGACCTTCAGCAAGACATCACCATCTGCTCAGAAACTCATGTAAGTTGGAGGATTTTACTCTGGACTGACCACCAACACAGAGTAGATAGATAGATAGATAGATAGGTAGGTAGGTAGGTAGGCAGTAGATAGATAGATAGACAAATAGATAAATAGAAAGAGAGATATCTATAGATGTAGAGATGGGTAGATAGATACAGAGAGATAGGAGAGATAGAGATATATCTATAGATATAGAGATAGGTAGATAGGCAAATAGAGAGAGGAGAGATAGAAATATATGTATCTTCTCTAGATAGATAGAGGTATATCTATAGATAAAAGGATAATATATAAATATAGATATATTGGGCATCTAGATGGCACAATGGATAGAAAACAGGGCCTGGAGTCAGGAAGACCTGAGTTCAAATCCGGCCTCAGACACTTACTAGTTGCGTGGCTCTAATCAAGTGATTTGACTCTGCCTCAGTTTCCTCATCTGTAAAATGAGCTGGAGAAGAAAATGGAAAACCATTCCAGTATCTTTGCCAAGAACTCCAAATGGCGCCACAAAGAGTTCCATGACTGAAATGACAGAACAACAACTAGATAGAGACATATCTATAGATAGAGATGTGTCTATATAGAGATAGAGCTATATATCTAGATAGATAGAGATATAGACCGAGATTAAGAAATCTGTGCCTAGTTATATGTATATATCTAGATAGAGATAGATGGAGATACATCTAGATATAGATAGATTTTTCTAGGAGTCATATCTCTGGACTATAACTCTTTGCAACTGTGAATTAGTCCAAGCAGGAAGGTTTCCCAATACTCTCCCCTAGTCTTATTATAAAAAAAAGAATTCAATAGATTTTAAAGCAAGAAGTGACCTCAAATTATCATCAGGCAGAGATACAGGGAAGAATAGTGAGTAGACCCTTTGAATTCAGGTAGGTGATACAGTGACATGGCACAGTGCTTATAGAGTTATCCTTAGAGTGAGGAAGCCCTGAGCTCAAGTCCCATCTCCGACACATTCTAATTGTGTGACTCTGAGCAAGTAATTTATTCCCTCAGTGTACCAACAACTTTTCAAGACTCAGAGTTACAGAATGGTTGCTGTATCTGAATTGGGAGGAAGAGTTCCCTTACCTGTAGTTGTCTACACCAATGAAATAACAGACTTGGATCAGGAAAAGAGAATAAAGGTATTAGATCCCCATCCTACAAAGGAGGTAACAAAGGCCCAGAGAATTTAACTGAATTGTTTAAGGTTACATGGATAATAATAATAATAATAATAACAACAACAACATATTTACGTAGTAATTTAACATTTATAAAACACTCTACTCAGGCCAGTGAATCTTTACTTACCAGCGCATGGGATAATAACTCCGGACTCAGAACGTGTGAATTCAAATTCTGTCTCTGGCACTTCCTAGCTCTGTGATCTAAGACAAGTCAATTTCACCTCTTTAGGCCTCATTTTCCTCATCTGTAAAAATAATAAGGTTGAGTGAAATGACCTCCAAAGTCTCTTTCTGCTCTAAACAAAAACAAAAACAAAACCCAACTGTATGATCTTAGGTAAGGAAAGCTTATTACCCTTATTTTATAGATTAATGTATTGAGGTACACAAAGGTTAATTAATTTATCCACAGGGGCACAGAATTAGAATGCAAATGCAGATTTGAGGCGTCCCCTTCTAGTTACCTTTCCTCTCTAGCACACTGTCTAGTAAATGGTAGAGTACCAATGGGGAGGAGTTTGATTTGTCAGCACCATGGCCAGAGGTAGTAGCAAAGGAAAGGACAGATTGTTTCTAGATTTGGGGAACAGGTACTTTTAGTTGTGGGCAATAACTTCAGGGGTGGTTTAGCAGGACAGTAGGATCGGTCACATCTCTGAGGCCACTCCCTCTAGGGTAATGGGGGCAAGATCAAGTGTGAATCTATACTAGAGCTTTGGAAAATTGTATTTCCAAAGGTAAGATCAGGAAATAGTTATCCCTTCCACATCATGACTTTCCCCATCAAGGTTTCAATATATCTGGGGTCAGCATAAGAAATTAAATAAGAATTTTGGGGGGAGTTTTGTGGAAACTTCAGACGACATGCAAAGGCCAGCAAACAGCACAGAAAAAGTTTAGAAACTCAGAAATATGTATACTATTGTGTATTATCAACCCAAATTTTACAATAAGGTACTGTAAACACCTCATAAAAGAAAAAGAAAAATTCAAATTTCTTCTCTGGTATGAAGGGAGGGTCAAAAATTTTTATGCTGATTTTTCAGATCAAGGGGGTGCCATGCCTTTAACCCCTGCTATGTGGAAGGGATGACTGTAAGCCTCATCAGTGTTAGAGACATGGCTACTGTATTGTTTGGGAACCTGAGGACTTTGTCAATGTGGGCATGTTTCTGTCTCTCTCCATATGATACACTGACCTGTGGGAATATAACTAGGGAAGCTATGTGTTGTGCCTGTATTTTCCTTTCCCTTGCATGACTGGATGCTATAACTGCTTAGTGCCTCCCTGGTGATCCCTAGGGGATCAGTCTTCCAGTTCAAGAAAGGCCATGATGCTGAGTTCTTTCTGACACAGTCTGGGTTGCATCTCTGAGGAGGCAACTAAGACCCTTCCCCATCAGTGTTGGAGCATTGAGTGCTTAAGTGCTCCAGATACCCTACCTTTGAGTAGAATCCTATAGCACTGAATGTCTGTCCCACCTAAACCATCCCCATTAGACTTCTGTGCAAGTTCAGCCAGGGGACATTAGACAAGTAATAACAGTTTAAATTTTCAGCATGTTTAATGGACACTTTCACATTTGCAACAACCCTGTGAAACAGGGAATGTAAGTATTATTATTACCACAGATGAAGAAATTGGCACTAAGAGGTTGGACTTGTTCAAGACTTCATAGCTAGTAAATAGTGGACCCCAGATTAGAGTCCAGGGTTTGACTGCTAATCCAGGGATCTACTTTCATCACACTGCTCTGCTTCTTGGTATAAGTTGTGAGTATGTGTATGTTCATGACAAGGTTAGGAGGGGAAGGTGTTAGATGGGCAAGGGGGGGAACTGGCTACTGGTGATGGTTTTGGCTGCACATATCTGTCCACTGAAGCTCAAAACTGTTCCCTTATGCCACTCAGTAAGCATTAAGTGAAAAGATTCATTAAGAAGGGGTGGGAGCTGATAGAAAGGAAGGCAGATTGAGGGAGGTGGTGGTCAGAAGCAACACACTTTTGAGGAGGGACAGATTGAAAGGAGAGAGAGAGAGAGAGACAGAGAGAGAGAGACAGAGAGACAGAGAGAGAGACAGACAGACAGAGAAGGATAAATGGGGGAAAATAAAATGGAGGGAAATACACAGTTGATAATCATAACTGAAACAAAATTTACAATCAGTTTTTCTATTAAATGCCTCATTTCTCAAATATATAGAAAACTGAGTCAAATTTATGAGAATAAAAGTCATTCCCCAATTGATAAATGGTCAAAGGATATGGACAGGTAATTTTCAGATAAAGAAATAAAAGCTATCTACAATCATATGAAAAAATGCTCTAAATCACTATTGATTAGAGAAATGTAAATTAAAACAACTCTGAGGTACCACCTCAGGTTGGCTACTATGATAGAAATAGACAATGACAAATATTGGAGTGGATGTGGAAAAACTGGGACACCAAAGCACTGTTGTGGACTTGTGAACTGACTCAACCATTCTGGAGAGCAGTTTAGAATTATGTCCAAAGGGCTATAAAACTGTGTATATACCCTTTAATCCAGAATACCACTACTAGGTCTGTATCCCAAAGAGATTTTTTAAAAAAGAAAAGGACCTAACACGTACAAAAATATTTATAGCAGCTCTTTTTGTGGTGGCAAAGAATTAGAAATCAAGAGGATGTCTATCAATTGGGGAACAGCTGAACAAGTTGTGGTATATGATTGTGATGGAATACTATTGTGCCATAAGAAATGATGAGCAGGATGCTTTCAGAAATACCTGGAAAGACTTATATGAACTGATGCAAAGTGAAGTGAGCAGAACCAGGAGAACAGTATACACAGTAACAGCAGTACAATGATCAACTGTAAATAATAGTTATTCTCAGCAATACAATGATTCAAGACAATTCCAAAGAACTTATGATGAAAAATGCTACCTCTAGAGAAAGGACTGATGGAGTCTGAATGCAGATTGAAGTATACTTTTTTATTTTATTTTTCTTGGGGTCAGGTTTTTTTTGTCTGTGTTTTCTCCTACAACATGACTAATATGGAAATATGTTTTGCATGCCTACACATGTATAACCTATACCAAAAAGTTTCCCTTCTCAATGAAGGGGATGGGGGAGGGAAGGGAGAGAATTTGGAACTCAGAATTTTAAAATCAAATGTTAAAAATTGTGGTTACATGTAATTAAAAATATTTTTTTAAAAAATAAAAGATCCATTAAACATCACTCCTTTCACTGAGTGAAATGTTCTCAGTCCCAGACTGAACAGCTTCTCTTCTCACCTTGACCTTTTCCTCTTTTCCAGCTACAGGAAATAACCTACTTCTGAAAAACATTTCCCATGATACTTCTGGCTACTACATCTGCACCTCCACCAACGAGATAGGAACTGCGTTCTGCAATATCACTGTTGCTGTCAGGCTTCGTAAGAACCCATCCAGGGAGGGAGAAAGGGAGTGAAGGATAGCAAGGGCCAGAAGAGGAAGGCAGGGTATCAATACGGGCAGGAGATGTCACAAGGACTGATTAGAAAGGCTTGGGTAGTGAAAATAAAGAAAAAAGAAAGCTTGGGTATGCTCATTCCCTGCTATAATAATAATAACAATAACAATAATAATAATGATAATAGTAATATCACTTTTAAGTGCTTTCAAAATGCTTTACAGATATTATTTCATTTTATCCTCACCACAACCCTGGGAGGCAGGTACTATTGTTAACCCATTTGGCAGATGAGGAAACTAACACAGACAGAGGTTAAGTAACTTGCCCAGGGTCTTGTTGTTGAGTCATTTTTTCAGTTGTGTCTGTCTTTTTGTGACCCAATTTTGGGGTTTTCTTGGCAATGATACCAGAGTGGTTTGTCATTTCCTTCTCCAGCTCGTTTTCTAGATGAGGCAGACAGGGTTAAGTGACTTGCCTAGGGTCACACAGCTAGTAAGTGTCTGAGGCTGGATTTGATAGATTTTCCTGACTTCTTGCACTTCTGACCCTCATTTGACCAGGGCAGTTGTAGGAGTCATACCCAGTAGACTATACCAGATTGGTTGCTAAGCTGTGACAATGCTGTCAATGTTTAGTGCTTTCACATGGGTAAAAGTGGCCAAGGCTGGGTGCTTTGGAGGGGTGTTCTAGATATTCAGATGAATCAGCTGGTTTGCCCCCTCACAGCCTCAATGAACATTGCCCTGTATGCTGGGATTGCGGGAGGCGTGGTTGCTGCTTTCATCATCATCGGCATCATTGTGTACTGTTGCTGCTGTAGGAACGAGAAGGAAAAAGACAGTGAGAGACCGTGAGTGATACCATTTCTCTAAAGAACTTGTGGAGGGAAAGAGGATGGGCCAAGGGTACAAGTAACTCTATTGCAGTATGGCAGAAAGAATAGCCAATCTGGAGTCAGGAGACCCAGCTTCCTAGCCACTTCCAAACCATTTTTCACACCCCACTCCTTTCTTGTTTCCCTTTATGTGTCCAGGGCAGTAATTGTCTTGTTTGCTTCTCAAATCAACAAACATTTATAAAGCACCTACTAAGTTCTGGGAATACTAAGAAATGAAAAAAATTAGTTCCTGCCCTGAAGGAGCTTACAATCTAATGAGGGAGATAACATGCAAACAACTATGTACAAATAAGCTTCTTACAGGAGGATAAATTGGAAATAATCAACAGAGGGAAGGCATTAAATTTAAGCCAGAACAGGAAAGGCTTCCTGTAGAAGTTGGGATGTTAGCTGGGACTGAAGGAAACCAAGGAAGCCAGGATGTGAGAGATGAAGAAGAGAAGGCATTCTAGGGATGTATTTGTGTCCACCCCCAGAGCTTAGCACAGTGCATAGCCCATGCTTTTTCATTCATCCTACTTAACACTTTGTGTGACCTTGAGCAAATCATGAATTTTCTCTGGGTCTTAGTTATTACATCTGGAAAATGAGAAAGTTGGGTTAGATTAGCACTAACTAGCCATTAGACAGTCTCTAAAGTCCCTCCCAGCTCTAAATCCTGTTTGGAAAACAATCCAAATCCATGAATTTTCTTCCATATTCTCCATCCCCTTCTCACAAGAGGCTGCTTGCCTCTTGGGAAAAGGTTTATAAAGTATGGAAAAAAAAAAGGTTTGTAAAGTATTTCACCTTAACACTCTTTACTTTTCTTGCTCCTCTGGAGGTGTTTCTACTTTAAGGTTAGAGATTGCTGTTGCTTTGGCAAATAAATGTTTGTGGAACAAATAAATGAATCAACGAATGAGCAAATCTCCAAGTGTGCAGTGAAGCCTATAGTCTCTCTTTTGAGCATGGAGATAAGCAAAGCCCTCGAGGCCAGTCTACTGATCTGGTCCTGAAAATTCCCCCTGGAAAGTCTTGAATTCCAGTACCAAAGCAGCTAAACTGGGTCCTCACTGCTGTCCAGCAATATAAATGCATGGGGCTCTAATGTTTACTACTGACCTCCATGACTTATATGCCCAGCAGCAGAATCTGTGAGTCAAAGAGTATTGTCTCAACTCCTCTTGAGACCCAGAGTCAGGTGTCTAACAAGGCAATCTACTTCTGAGGAATGACCAGAGTAATGGGATTTGAAACCAATAATTTGAAATTTGAAACCAATAATGATTCCTCTCCCCACTCTGACTTTCAGGGATCGAGAGGATTATCAGGAACCTCCAGAGCAGATGAGAGAAATACACAGAAGGGATGACAATGAGGAAGACAGGAATCAGGACAGGAGGAGTTCTGGGTGGGACTCACCTGTGCCCAGCTCCCGGTGACTGAAGCTGCCTAATGTCTTGTATGGATAAAGGGAGGAAGAGGAGAAAAGAGTATGAAGAGCATAACTTTTTTTCTTTTTTTAAATGACGATTTCCCCCAATTGCATGTAAAAACAATTTTTAACATTTTTTTTAAGTTTTGAGTTCCAAATTCTATCTCTCCTTCCCCTCCCCCTCCCTGAGATGGTAAGCAATCAGATATAAGTTACACGTGTACAATCATGTAAAACATTTTCATATTAGTAAGTTTGTGTAAGACGACTTCAACAAGAGAGAGAAGAAAGGAAGAAAGAAAGAAAGAAGGAAGGAAGGAAAGAGAGAAAGAGAGAAAGAAAGAAAAAGGGAAAAATAGTAAAAAGAACATAATCTTTGAATGCTCTCCTCCTACTACCCCCAGAGCAGGTTTTCCCATCACTCGGTCAACTACATTTATGGGATGCTTCCTCTCCTCCATTCATTGTCATGTCTTGATGAGAAAATGCTTTGCTTGAGTAACACAGATCTAATGGCCAACCTTATCTTCTTGGCTGACCCCTTCAAAGTGACATGCTTACTCCACAGAAGAGTCATTGAGGGGAAGTGTTCAGGTAGGTGAGATTTTCTTCCACATTAAGGCTTTCTTGGGCTCACATACCTATGTGGGCTAATACCTAGGCATCTCCCTACAACTACATATAAAGACTTTCATGTTACTTGAAGTCCTTTTCATTTGAGCATATTAGAGATGATCTGATAAAAACAATCCTGAAGCTTAAGTACAGCCAGTCCTGGGGTGTGTCAGCCTCAGCGCTACCACTAAAGCCTTAGGAAACAGAGTTGACAGCTGGTTGTACAAGTTTGCCAAACATTGCATGTTCATGGGCCCTCCTTTGCTAATATCTGCATAATTAAAGAGCTGCAACAAGTGATCTCCAAGGTACCTCCAGCCATCATATTCTATGATTCTACTCTACTCTATCTGCTATCTACTAATCCCACTTTTGGGAAAATTACTGAGCCCTAAGAGTAAATCTTATTTCACTCCATTCCTGCTTTTTTGTTGGCATTCCATTTCCCTCACATCCCATCTTCCCCTCCCTTCTTGCCATCTCTCCTGCCTTAGGTTGTAAGCTCTTGGAGAGCAGGGGTCCCATCTATACAGTACTCCTCACAGTGGCTAGGACAGTTGTGATTTGGTGCTGAAAGACAAGCATTTTGATGATGATTGCCAGTGACAGTGGGGGCATTTCTGCATTTCTCCGTATCCTAAGGAGCAATTTTGTGATTTACCAATTTAAAAAAATAAATAAACTTTGTTAAACCTCTTCTTTTTTATAAAATTCTTCAAGAAACAATAAAGTTGATATTCTATTTTATGGAAATTCTTGTCTTTTTAAAAAATTTAAGTATTCCCTGAATGGTAAATCGATCTTTTCAAAGTAGTCATCTTGGGGTCTTGGAATAACCCCCATCTCCATTTAGCTTATTTGTACAAAGTTGTGTGCATGCTATCTCCTCCATTAGGCTGTGAGCTCCTTGAGAGCAGAGACTGTCTTTTGCAAAGACAAATGTCAAACCTGAAGGTTCTTTTATGTGAGGAATCAATCATTTATTAAGCACCTATTATGTGCCAAGCACCTACTATGTACTAAGCACCTTCCAAGTATTCATTAGAACATACAGGTTGAAGATTTCATAAGTTGGTGTATTCTTATCAAAGCATTAGAGTTTTAGCACATTATCTTCTAAATATGGAAACAACACCAAAAATTGATTTGTGACATTAAAAAATACAAAAGTACCTATGGAGATGTAAAAAAAAAAGATCTGAAATCCCTTGTTATAATTAAGAAAGCACTCAAGGACATAGGATTGTGTTATAAGAAGCAGCACAGGAGAATGGGAAGCTTGCTGACCCGGGTTGGCCACTCCCTGGCTGGCTGACATTGGGGTAAAAGACATTACTAGGCTCTTCCTGCTTCTCTAACCACTCTTGCTCTGTTTCATCTCCTCTTTTGAAATCCTTGTTCTGGATATTTCACTAGTGTTTGTCCTTAGGTCTCTTCTTGTGTCTCCTTAGACTCTCTCTCCCTTGGCAAAGACCATTCACCTCCAGGGTTTGAATAACCACCTCTTTGCCAACCTCTCTATCCAATCCTGACCCAGCTCTGGACCCAGGTCTCCAGCTGTCTCCAGGGCATGTTCCCTTGGGGTGGTCCCACTGGCATCTCAAATTTAAACATGTTCAGAGTGGACTTGTTATTTCTTCATCTTAACCAGGTTTATATTCTTTTACTGACATTTAAGGTCCTCCTGATGGCATCCTATTGCAAGGGAAGTAAACAAAAAGTTATTGGATGGCTACCAGAGACTGAGCTTTTCTTATAATACGCCTGCTTCTGCTCTGTACTCCAGCCCAACTGGACGACTTCCTGTTGCCTTAAACAGGTGGTTGTGCCCTTTCATCTCTTTACTTTTGTTTAGACTGCTCCCTCTGCCCAGAATGCCCACCTTTCTTTTTTTTTGGGGGGGGAACCTGGGTGGGGCAATCAGTACTTGCCCAGGGTCACACAGCTAGTAATAGTGTCAGAGGTCACATTTGAACTCAGGTTCTCCTGACTCTAAGGCCAGAGCTCTATCCTCTGCACCACCTAGCTGCCCCCATCCCCACCTTTCTTAACCTCTGACTGTTGAACCCCTACCCATCCTTTAAAGATCAACTCAAATAATATTTTCTGAAAGCCTTCCCTGATCCCAACAAATTTCCCAATTGGACCTTGTAGAGTACTTTGTTTTGTAACACTCTAATGCAGTTATCCTGAAGTACATTGGCCACTAGACCCTTATGGCTCTGGAGGAGAGAGTGAGACTGGTGACTTTGCACAGCCCTCCCTCACTTAAATCCCATTCACTTGCATGTCATGGCATCACCTCCTTGATATCATGGTCCTCTTCGAGAGAGAAGGATAAACATAAATGATGTAACATTAGATATTATGGTGATCTATATAGGTGTTTTCCTATGAAAATGGTAAACTCCTTTGGGTACAGACTGGATCTTATCTAAAATTTGTATCTCTCCTAGTGCCTAGCAGAGTGCTCTGGCTCCTGCAGAGGAGCTTCATACATTTCATTTGATTTATTGATCAGGCTAATAATAACAATAGTAATTCCTATTTAACAGTGCCTTAAGATTTCCAAAGCCTTTTTCTCCTGTCAGCCCTGTGAGGTAAGTATATAACAAATGTTATTACCCCCATTTTATAGATGAGGAAACTTAGTCTCAGAGAAGTCATGTCACTTGCTTATGGTGACAAAGTTGTCCAAGGTAGGATTTGAATACAGTTCTCCTGACACCAAGCTCAGGACTCTTTCCCCTATACTTCACTGCCTTTCAATTGTTCCTTTTGTGTCTTTGAAAAAAAAATTTTAATAGCGGAGTGTTTGTGTCAATTATGCCAGTGCTTCAATTAATAATCATTTATTAAGCACCTACTATGTACCAGGCACTGTGCTAAGAGCTGGAATCTCTAACTATGTGGTCAGGCTGTAAGTATGTACTCTTCTATTTATTTCATTTTATTGTTTGCTTTTTTTTTCTGGTGAGGCAATTGGGGTTAAGTGACTTGCCCAGGGTCACACAGCTAGTAAATTTTAAGTGTCTGAGGCTGGATTTGAATTCAGGTCCTCCTGTCTCCAAGGCCAAAGCTCTATCTACTTAGCCACCTAGCTGCCCCTCTTCTATTTATTTTAGATTAGGATATAGATACAATACAGGCTTGTAGGCTCTCTCCTGGCCAAAGAAACCTAGCAATCCCATTCCCTTCAATTAGAAGGCAGGTAGACTCAATTCGATTCAATTTTCAGCTGGCAGTTTTCAGCTTTTGGACTTGAAGTTTTAAGCACTTATCTTAAAAATGAGGCAAGGAGAGAAATGTAGGGAAGCATTGCATGCGAAAATTGAAAGTTTTTTCAAGTCAATTTTTGATGAGAGATTTGCTTCTGGTAATTTAACTACCAATAATCAATAATAAAACTTCTTTGATAACCTCACTCAGCAAATCCCAGAGTCCTCTGAATGCAACAGATTATGGGATGCTGCTCAGTCAGTAGGAGATCCAGACCTCACTTTAAGGTGTACATTGCCCACCAGATGCATTCACTGGATTGGACTCCACCATGACCATGCTCCCAGGAAACTCATCCTCAGCTTTGGTACTCACACCTCTTCAGCACCCAGGTATACTCTACCCCTCTGACTGGAAGGCTGTAGGGTGAAGCAAAGAACTCCTTTTAAAGACCAGAGGGCTCACAGACCAGCTGACTCATCATTTCCTACCAGCTGCATTTCTTAGACTGGACTCCAGCATGCCCCCCCACCAATGTCCCCATGGTACCTTCTCCCTCTCTTTTTTCAGCTTTCTCTTGTGTGTTGTCTTTCCCTATTATATTATAAGCTCCTTGAAGACAGGAACTACCTTTCTTTTTCTGATTTCTATCCTTAGCCTTTAGTGCTGTATACTAAGAAGGCACTGCCTGACTGCATGACAAAGCACTTTCCTTGAAACATCTGTGGCGTGGATAGCATGTGATTATCTCCACCCTATAGATAAGAAACTGAAGTGCAGGTAGACTAAGCTATCAAGTATCAGATCAGGGTTTCCTGTCTCCCCCTCCACTGGTCTTGACCCAATAGCATTCAACACAATGTTTTAGGCCAGCATGAGTTTCATTTGCCAGCTTTTGAATAGGTTTGGTGTGAAGGACATGGATTTTCCCAAACTCCTTGGGGGATAGCGTGTCCTTGCCCCTGAACCATCTTTGTTAGACAAAAATCTTCCACTAAAGCCATTCTTCATGCTTCCTTGTGGCATGGAGGTGACCTTGGGTGCCTTGTATTGGAGCGCTTGGCCAGCAGACCCATTAAACTGGAAAGTCGCCAAGACCTGGCTCTGTAACAAACTGTGCATCTGTCCTCTGAGGTAGCTAAGTGGATAAAGTGCTGGACTCAGAATCAGGAAGACCCTAGTTTGAATCTTGCTACACACACAAATTAGCTGTGTAATCGTGGGCAAGTCATCTCTCTCAGTTTCAATTAACTCATCTGTAAAATGGGGTTAAT